TACCCTTAAAATAGGTGATGAAAAATGTGTTGTATTAAGAGCACAAGGAAACCAAACTAGTAAGGAGTTTTGCATGGTTCAAGCACTCGTCAGAGCCATTCAATGAAATAAATAGAAGCTTTCTCACTAGACTTTGTACGAGCCCGGATCTCCTGCAAGCAAAAACTTTACGCACACAGCATCCAACCACACATAAGGAATATCGCACTGGATGGCTATGCTTGCAGAGTGTGTGCAGAGTTTTTTTCTTCCAGGAGATCCCATCGCAGCTTGTACTGCTGATTGAAAATTAGTGAATTTTTCAAGAATCTTCTATGTTCTTCTCCATGTTTGTGTTAGAATCTTTTCTATATTTTACTTCTCTAAAATAACTTCAAGCACTAGTTACATTTAATTAATTTGATTCTATGTCGAGCCTTGGCATCTACTAGCTGCTTCACGACATCTTTCATTGTTGGTCTCTCACTTGGCTGTGCTGCTGTACATCTCAATGCCACCAATAATACATCAATCACTTCTTTAATGCTAATGRAATCCATGGATTCTTGCATGAGGCTTGGATCTGCAATCCTGTCAATGGCTTGAACTCTCCTCCAGATTGATCTTACCCAGTGCACTATATCTGTGTCCTGTGGAAATGAAGGATCCAGAGCTCTTTTTCTGCTAATCAGTTCAAGCAAAACTACTCCATAGCTGTATACATCTGATTCCTTACTCTTTTCTACTTTAAATGCAGTCTCTGTCATAGCAAGTAAGTTAGAATGTTAGAAGCAAATCTCTTGATACCAAGAGCTGTGAAGAAATTGAACCTATTGTCTGAAAAAGCATTAAACACAAACAAAAATAATGTTACTGTATAACAGACAGCTAACTGATAATATAGAGATATTTATACCTGGTGATATATAGCCAATGGTACCGGCAACTGTGATGGACTGAACAGTGGCAGAGGACTGATCTATGAGTTTGGCAATGCCAAAATCAGAGATGTGAGGCTCCATGTCACCATCCAAAAGTATGTTATTTGGTTTAATATCTCGATGCACTATTGCAGGATTGCAATCATCGTGTAGATATGCTAATCCTTGGGCAGTTCCAAGTGCTATCYGGTATCGTACTTCCCACCTGAGGACTGGAGCTGGTTTAATCTCATGTAGAACATCATGGAGGTTTCCATTCTCCAAATACTTATACAAGATCAATCCATTGTCCTTCCTCAACCAGAAGGCTTCCAACCTTACCAGATTCCGGTGCTTGATCTTTCCAACAGTTTCAATTTCCCTAMCCATGCTTTTAATATTTTCTCCTTTATGGCGTGAAAGTACAAGTTTCTTTACAGCATAAACTCTCCCCGGATCCAAGGCAGCCTTGTAAACAGTTCCATGTGCT